ATAAAAGAAAGAGGATATCCATTATTCAACAGAATGTTGATAACAAATTCAAAATTCTTTTTATGAAATTTTGGATGAGAAAGCCAGAAAACTTTATCAGTTAGACCAATTATCGTACCCTTCTTTTGGCAAAGGGGGTGTCGCGACTCAAAATGGAGGTATCTCCCCGAGAAAGTCGGTTTATGAAACCAATTAAAATGAATCAATCCATACTCTAAAATGATAGTGACGTCAAGGAAATTCAAACGATTATCGACACCCTCCTCCATAGTAAACTGCACCTTGTGTGGAACGAGTTGAAAGTGTCCAGAATGGTACTAAGCATTGAGGAGGGAGCCGCCAACACGACGTCGTCAACGTATCTAAAATAAAATGGGAGATCCACTGGTAGAGTCGCGATGGCCCTTGACTCCAAATCTTGGAGCGTGATCTCAGCGATAATCGGCGAAAGAGAAGAGCCCATGGGCGTGCCAAATGTTTGTTGATAGCAAATGCCGTTGAACATAAAAAATGTAGAGTTCAAAACGAGGCGAACTGCCGTTAGAAATTCATCACGAGGTCTCTGACAATTATTTCCTATATAGTCACATCTATTCAACAGATTATCAGTCGCCAACGGTATATTCGTGAATAATGAGATGACATCTAACGAGATCAATTTTATGTTGTCATCAATACGTCTACCATTTAGTCTATCCATCACTTGAGCACTGTTAATAATTTGACTGTCTGGTCGTGGAATAGATTTATAAATAATGTCATGTAAAAACTTGGCGAGACCATAGAGCGGTGTGTTCTTAGATGAGACTATTATACGCAACGATTATTTTTCTTGTGAATTTTCAGCAGCCCATAAGCTCTCGGTAAAACACCATCTGTACAATTTAAAGATCTATATTTCGCAATGGAGATATAATCGTGTGCTCTCCACCTCGCTAAGAGATCATGCAGACTGCTAATTAATTTATTAATCGGGCTCTTATTCACTACCCTATACGTATTTGTATCAGCTAACAAAGCCGTCATATTAGAGAGATAGTCGTCCTTATTCAACGCGATTGTTATATTGCCTTTATCGGCTCTAGTACACAAAATATCAGGTTGTCTCTTGTGAATTTTTTGGCAGCGTTAAAAGACTTCAGAATAAATATATCAAAAGGAGACTTATGTGGAATGGAATTGTGAAAACTATTTATTATAGGAAAAGATCTGTTTCTTACCGTCGTGCGAACCTCCGTGGGCAGCTTGTTGATATTATACTCCACATTTTTTAATAAATCATCAATAGTTCTTTCCTTGTGAATAACCGGTAAACAAAATTTTTCTCCCAATTGTAATAGGAGTTGTACTTCCTCAGGTATGGTCGAAGAAGACAAATTAACGAACCACTCATTTCTTAATTCCAAGAAAGGAGAAACACGTGGTAAGAAAGATGAGAGCTCAAGGTCGATACAAATAGGCGAGGAAGAAGAATAATTAAAATCGATAAAATTTTATCGACTTTAATTGACTCCTATCAAACATTTCCAGCAGGGTTAAGTCTGGTCCGAGGACTTAAGACCTCATTCAACCAATCAAATAGCTGCGTAGCATTTCAAGCTCGAACTTAAGACGATCTCAAATACAAGATCGGACTATGAATACCGGCCCTAGTCGCCATATTAGTTTCGGTGACGCGAACGTATTGGAGCGTATTGGAGTGAGTAGGAGTATGTTGGGGCATGCGACGCGAACAAACCTATTGTTATTCCATGGTTAATCCATTGGTTAAATAATGTTTTTAGTTTATTAGCGTTAGAGAGAAGCCTGAGAGGGGCCACGCTGCCATTTTTGAGGGAACGCTTTCCCTACGTCGTACATTAGCGGTGCGTACATCTATTTTACGGCGCCTGGGAACTACATGGCCACATCCACTTTTGGTGCCGACAAAACAATCGATTTTGGTTCATGTCCGTGCTACAAATTTATAGACCATAAATACGTCTCGCATATAGACGTAATTAATAATATACTTCGTTAGCACGATTTCTCTTTTCCGTTCAAGCATATATTATAAACATCAATATATGCTATTAATAAAATAAATTTATGTAATATACATTGTTTAGGATATTTTATTTTCGTGATAAGAAATAGAAAAGAGAGAGATAAAACTTATATAAAATTCAGTAAATTAAATTTTATTTGTTAAAAAACAGTCCTAGAAAAAAGATAATTATAGACCATTTCCAAGATGATGAAATCACACGTTTTGAACATTACATTTGATACGCAACATATATATAACTCTTTTAAAATAAATATAATATTGAATATATGGAAACTACATTTTTTTATATTTCTTAATAGTTTTTCTTATAGAACATAATTTTAAAGTTAATGAGCAGTTAATGCAAGTTTTCTTGCAAAAAAAATAAAAAATAATCATATTAACAGCCCAACATTTGTCATTCGAATATTAATTTTCGATTAGATATAATTTTTTTACTTATCTAACAATAAGGAAAACTTATCGGAATTATGTCATTTTAAACATAAAAATTTCATTAATCTATTTTAATTACTTTCAAAAAGATTAAATAAAATATAAAAATTTTAGTTGTTATTTTCTAGATATTTAAAGTTGTAAATTATTATAAGTAACGAAAAAATTCCCGATATCATTGAAAGCGAGAGCGAGAACGAATAGAGCAAGCGAGATGATGTTTCGTAAAAAGAGTTCCGAAATCTCTTACGCGAGATTCCCTTTCTCTATAACATTTCACGAATATATGTCATCTACTATAAAAATTAAAATGCGTTTTATTTGTTTTGAAAATAATTTTAATGAAATAATGAGAATTTTGCGATTAAAATGACCTCAAACTCGATATAAATCGGACAGTTAAATGTAAGCAAAATTTTTATTATTAGACTAATTAAAAATTATCCGATTTACATCGTGTTTGATATCATTTTAATTGCAAAAATCTCAATAATTCATTAAAATTACTTTCATATCGATAAAATAAAAAATAAGAATTTCAGTTTTTATTTTATAAGATGTTTACATTCGCAAGAAAGCCGAGTCCGCTTATCTTTACGATTTGTCAAGTGCGAGAGCAACAGCGAAACCGCGAGTCGAGAGCGAGCGAGATGACCTATCATCAAAGAATTCCGAAGTCTTTTACAATCGGCTTCTTCACTTTCTCTATCCATTCGCAAAGTTTTTATTGTTCATGATGCATAATAGATGATAATAATTTTAATATTAATGTGATTTTTTATATGTATGTATGTATGTATGTATGTATATATGTATGTATAAAAGTGATGCGAGAATATGTGAGGAAGCGAGAAGGTAATAAGAACGAGTGAAATAACAATAAGAGCGAACGAGATAGAAATAGCACGAGCAACGAGGACTCGAGCTCGAGAATCGGATTTTTCTTGCACGCTATTATTTTCCTCTTACTCGCTCCTATTACTGTCTCGTTCGCTCCTATTATTATCTCACTCGTTCTTGTTTCGCTCACTCTCGATTCTCCTCTTATCATTCCGAGCTATCTATCACGACTGTCAAGTATGACAAAGAAAGCAAGACCATGAATAGAGAGCGAGCGAGATGACCTATCATCAAAGAGTTCCGAAGTCTCTTACAATCGGTTTCTTCGCTTCCTCTATTCATTCGCAATTCACGAAAATGTAAACATCTTATAAAAAAAAATTAAAATTATTTTTATTTTTATTTTTAATTTCATCGGTTTGAAAATAATTTTAATGAATTAATGAGATTTTTGCGATTAAAATGACACCAAACACGATATAAATCGGATAATTTTTAATTAGTCTAATAATAAAAATTTTGCTTACATTTAACTGTCCGATTTATATCGAGTTTGATGTCATTTTAATCGCAAAATTCTCATTATTTCATTAAAATTATTTTCAAAACAAATAAAACGCATTTTAATTTTTATAGTAGATGACATATATTCGTGAAATGTTATAGAGAAAAGGAATCTCGCGTAAGAGATTTCGGAATTCTTTTTACGAAACATCATCTCGCTTGCTCTATTCGTTCTCGCTCTCGCTTTCTATGATATCGAGAATTTTTTCGTTACTTATAATAATTTACAACTTTAAATATCTAGAAAATAACAACTAAAATTTTTATATTTTATTTAATCTTTTTGAAAGTAATTAAAATAGATTAATGAAATTTTTATGTTTAAAATGACATCAAGCATGACATAATTCCGATAAGTTTTCCTTATTGTTAGATAAGTAAAAAAATTATATCTAATCGAAAATTAATATTCGAATGACAAATGTTGGGCTGTTAATATGATTATTTTTTATTTTTTTTGCAAGAATCTCGTTAACTTTAAAATTATGTTCCATAAGATAAACTATTAAGAAATATAAAAAAATGTAGTTTCCATATATTCAATATTATATTTATTTTAAAAGAGTTATATATATGTTGCGTATCAAATGTAATGTTCAAAACGTGTGATATTTCATCATCTTGGAAATGATTATCTTCTATAATTATCTTTTTTCTAGGACTGTTTTTTAACAAATAAAATTTAATTTACTGAATTTTATATAAGTTTTATCTCTCTCTTTTCTATTTCTTATCACGAAAATAAAATATCCTAAACAATGTATATTACATAAATTTATTTTATTAATAGCATATATTGATGTTTATAATATATGCTTGAATGGAAAAGAGAAATCGCGCTAACGAAGTATATTATTAATTACGTCTATATGCGAGACGTATTTATGGTCTATAAATTTGTAGCACGGACATGAACCAAAATCGACTGTTTTATCGGCATCAAAAGTGGATGTGGCCATATAGTTCCCAGGCGCCGTAAAATAGATGTACGCACCGCTAGTGTACGACGTAGGGAAAGCGTTCCCTCAAAAATGGCAGGCCCCTCTCAGGCTTCTCTCTGTAAGGAAGTTAGCGGTCTAGTTGTAATATAAAAGTCTGTGACTTCGACGGAGTTAGCAGTCTAGTGTATATATTGATGTCTATGGTTGCGCTACTGTATATAATGTAACATTAGTTGCCTGTAATATTGGATTTTATCTTATATAGTTGGTGCTGCTGCTAGGTTAAGTTACAGAAGTTGCTTAATTTTAAACAAAACGCATTTTATAACTAAAACAGATATATAATAAATTCAAAAAGCTATGTCAGACACGGCTGAAAAGGTAATTTAATTTATATGCTTTATATGTACGAGTGGCTCGAATGTCAAATGCGGCGGTACACAAGTCTGGAAAATAAGTTTGAGAAATAAGATGTTTGTGTTTATTTTTACCATAAATATAATAATATAAATATATAAATGATTTAATTATACAGGTTGAACTCTTGATAACAGACAATTTTAGTGTAGTTGATTATAGTACATCTCATTATTTGCATCTAGAGTCTATTAACTTACAATCGAATTTTGATGGACTTTTATATATGTAGGTGATATACTTGACATCTAGACCACTCATATATAGAAATAAGAAAATGAATATATAAATAAAAATGAAAAAAGACAATTATATATATATATATATATATATATATATATATATATATATATACAGGGTGGCCCATTTTAATTTCCCCAGCCAAATATTTCGGAAAATAATGAAAAATCAAAAAAATATTTCAGACAAAAGTTATATGGCTTGAAGGGGGCCATCAGATAGTGGCAATGATTTGACCTTGGAGAGTTATTTGAAGATGACGTAAAGGTAACCTTCAATTTCTTAAATGGAACTCCCTATTTTTTATTACATATTCGTGTAGCTTATCTCGAGAGCTTTCCAAAACACTATAATAAAGTATTTCTTCATTGAGTACTTTTCGAGTTATGAGGCTTGAAATTATTTCTTAATTTTACATAAATCGTAAAATATCTTGTGAAATATTCATTTTTCGATTATCTTACCTTAATACTTTTATGTACAAAATAATGAGAGAAATCAATTGGTGTAAAAAAAACACATAGTTGTTTCAAAGAAAAAATATGTAATTGTTAATTGCAAATTACATATTTTTTCTTAAAATTTTCTTTCTTTAAATACATCATTCTTAGGAAAATTAATAAAAAAAGTGGTGTGGCCTGAGGGACCTTTTTCCAAAAATACCCGCGGCAGTTAACGTGTTAATTGACATTTATATTCTTCTTCATATTATTTCATAATATTTCATAATATTTCAAGGAATAGATTTTAATGACTTAGAATTTAATGATTTGTAAGAAAATGATCTTGAAATGATCTTCACTCTCAAAACATGATTACGGAATATACTAAAACAGCAACTTTTACTACTTCATTTCTTGCATGTTTTTTCTACAAAAGAATATTATTTTTCTTAAAAGAATATATAAATTCTTAAAAGAATATGTAAGTTTTTTTTATGTTTTAAATAAATTTTCAAGAGTATGATGCAATAGATATTGGTGATTAGTAAATTTCTTTGCATAGAGTTACTACATGCACAATATTTTTCTCAGTTATCATAAGTCAGCATATCATATCAACTTTTTTTATGTTTGTATATCATATTTTCTTATCATGTGTACCATTCAGCCGTACAGATTTAGAGAGTTACTGTGAAGTATGTTATAATTTTAAATTAATTTGATATTTTTACTTAACAAATATAAATTACTTTATAAATACAAGAATTAACCATTATTAATATTTCAGATTATTAAATGAAAACATAGAAGTTAAAAGAAATCATACATTTTGCATAAAGTCACTTTATTACAGATCATTAAATTTGTCTTTCTTTCAATGACAACACAGTATTAAAAAGGAATATGAAATATCTTTTAAAAAATTCAAAGTTATCTTGATATCACAGAAAATATAAGATACAAAAAATAAAATGCTCTTGTGTTTAATGAATCTTATTAAACATAATATATTTTTTATATAAAATAAATTTTTTTAAAAGCAACAACAGATTATTTTAGATTGGTGTAAAGAAAACATATAACTGTTTCGAAGAAAATATATGTAATTTGCAACTAACAATTACCATATTTTTTTAAAAAAATAACTATTTTCATTACACCAATTGATTACTCTTATTTTATACATAAAAGTATCAAGGTAAGATAATAAAAAAATGAATATTTTACTAGATACTTTATGATTTATGTAAAATTGAAATATTATTTTAAGCTTCCTAATTCGAAAAGTACTCAATGAAGAAATACTTTATAGTAGTGTTTTGGAAAGCTCTCGAGATAAGCTACAAGAATATGTAATAAAGAATAGAGGGTTCCATTTAAGAAATTGAAGGTGACCTCCACATGATTTCAAACTATCCAAGATCAAATCAATGATACCATCTTATGGTCCCTTTCAAGCCATACAATTATAAACATCTTTTTAACTCTAAGGCCCAGTTCCACAATTCAGTTAATCCGAGTTTAAGTAGTGAATGGATCAATCAGGACCCAGTTTAACGTATTAAACTCGGATTAACTCGAGTTGTGGAACCGGGCCTAAGTAATATCGATATACTTGACTGACAAAAATAAAATAGGTCAAAAATATACACCCTGTGTGTATTATATATATATATATATATATATATATATATATATATATATATATACACAGGGTGTTCCATTTTATTTTTATCAGTCCAATATCTCGATATTACTTAGAGTTAAAAAAAATGTTTATATATATATATATATATATATATATATGTATATATACAGGATGTCCCATTTTAAATAATACACTTAAATATCTCCGAAACGGTGCGTTACATAAAAAAATGTTTCAAACAAAAGTTATATGGCTTGAAGGAGGCCATCAGACGGTGGCAATGATTTGATCTTGGAGAGTCATTTGAAGATCACTGTCAATTTCTTGAAGAAAACTCCCTATTTTTATTACATATTCTTGTAGCTTATTTTAAGAGCTTTCCAAAACACTATAATACAGTATTTTTCCATTGAGTACTTTTTGAGTTATAAAGCTTGAAATTAACATTTCTCTAATTCTGCAATCATTTGTTAATTTTACATAAACCGTAAAATATCTAATAAAATATTCATTTTTCGATTATCTTACCTTGAGAGGAATCAATTGGTGTAAAGAAAACACATAATTGTTTCGAAGAAAAAAAATATAGAATTGTTAATTGCAAATTACATAATTTTTCTTCGAAACAATTATGTGTTTTCTTGACATCAATTGATTTCTCTCATTATTTTATACATAAAAGTATTAAGGTAGGATAATCGAAAAATGAATATTTTACTAGATATTTTACGGTTTATGTAAAATTAAGAAATTATTTCAAGCCTCATAACTCGGAAAGTACTTAATGAAAACTAACTATAACTTAATAACTAACTAAAACTTAATTATAGTGTTTTGGAAAGCTCTCGAGATGAACTATAAGAACAAAAGCATATAGGGTGTCTCGTTTAAAAAGTTGGATGTGACCTTCAGGTGACTTCAATGTCAAACTAATGACACCATCTTATATCGCCTTTCAAGCCATATAACTTCTGTCTGAAACATTTTTTTCTACAATCAAAATTAAAAAAGTTATGAGGGTGGAACTTTTAAAATGGGACACTCTGTATGTGTGTGTGTGTGTGTGTGTGTGTGTGCGCGTGCGCGCGCGCGTGCGTGCGTGTGTATATAAAAGGAAAGATAAAATTATTAAATTAGACTATTGCAAATTCTATTCTATAGATAATATACATTATAACAAATTTAATTTCTTCCATATTAAATTGCACAAAAAATAATATTTCCTTAAAATTATAATAAAATTATAATATTTCCTTAAGATTTCCTTAAAATGTATTTATTATCTATCCATAAAATATTTATTAAAAAACTCCTACTTAATGTATTTTAATATAAAAAAAATTATAAACTTGACACATGAGAACATTTTTATAAAATAAGCATTACATAATTATATTGTGCAGTTTTCTAATTTAATCAAATATTTTAATATTTATTGTAGTTAATATTTAATAACTTACAAAGAAGGAAGTAAAGTAATTTTAATTTATTTTATTTTATTTTTCAGGTTATCAAATGTAAAGCTGCTGTAGCATGGAGACAAAAAGAGCCTTTATCTTTAGAAGAGATTGAGGTAGCACCACCAAAAGCACATGAAGTCCGAATTAAAATGATAGCTATAGCAGTTTGTCATACAGATGCTTATACTTTAGATGGATTGGATCCAGAAGGAATATTTCCTTGCATACTTGGTCATGAAGGCAGTGGCATTGTAGAAAGTATTGGAGAAGATGTTATTGAGTTTCAGCCTGGTAAATTTAATTAAATCTTTATGAAGAATTTTTTTAATAAACTATTATATCATAAATTATATTATAAATTACAAATAATATCATAATCAGTTTCTAATTTTATACGTTGATTACATTATATTTAATTAACATTTCTCTAATTCTGTGCAAATATTTATAGGTGATCATGTTATACCACTTTATATTCCCCAATGTAACAATTGTAAATTTTGCAAATCACCGAAAACGAATTTATGCAGCAAAATTCGTGAAACTCAAGGTAAAGGTTTAATGCCTGATGGTACATCTCGTTTCACATGTAAGGGACAAACAATTGCACATTTTATGGGTTGTTCTACCTTTTCTGAATATACAGTGGTAGCTGATATTTCTCTCGCAAAGGTACTTACAATATATACAATACATATATATATATATATATATATATATATATATATGTATGTATATATATATATATATATATATATATATATATATATACACATATATTATACAGGGTGTCCTAGACCACCCGTACACTCCTTTTCTTTCAAAAACTAAACATTTTAGAGAAAAACGTTTTCGACAAAAATTATATGGTTTTGAGGGGAACATAAGATGGTGTCATTGGTTTGACCTTGGATGGCATCGTTAAGGTCAGGTCAAGGACACTTTTAATTTCTTAAATGGAACCACCTATTTTTTATTCCATATTCTTATAGCTTATGTCGAGAGCTTTCCAAAACATTATAATAAAGTATTTTTTCATCAAGTACTTTTCGAGTTATAAGGCTTGAAATCATTTCTTAATTTTACATAAACCGTAAAATAGCTAGTAAAATATTCATTTTTCGATTATCTTACCTTAATAATTTTATGTACAAAATAATGAGAGGAATCAATTGGTGTAAAGAAAAAATTGTAATTAACAATTACATATTTTTTTTTAAAACAACTATGTGTTTTCTTTACACCAATTGATTCCTCTCATTATTTTGTACATAAAAGTATTAAGGTAAGATAATCGAAAAATGAATATTTTACTAGATATTTTATGCAAAATTAAGAAATTATTACAAGCCTCATAACTCGAAAAGTACTCAATGAAGAAATACTTTATTATAGTGTTTTGGAAAGCTCTCGACATAAGCTATAAGAATATGCAATAAAAAATAAGTGGTTCCATTTAAGAAATTAAAGGTGTCCTTGACCTGAACTTAACGATGCCATCCAAGGTCAAACCAATGACACCATTTTATGTTCCCCTCAAAACCATAAAATTTTTGTCGAAAACGTTTTTCTCTAAAATGCTTAGTTTTTGAAAGAAAAGGGGTGTACGGGTGGTCTAGGACACCCTGTATATATATATATATATATATATATATATATATATATATATATAATTAGTTAATATAGAAAAATGTTCTATAAAAAATACAGAAAAAACTTAATATATTACAAATATCGTAGATTAATCCGATAGCACCATTGGACAAAGTTTGCTTATTAGGTTGCGGAGTATCTACAGGCTATGGTGCAGCTTTAAATACTGCAAAGGTAGAACCTGGAAGTACTTGTGCTATATGGGGCTTAGGAGCTGTTGGTCTTGCTGTAGCATTTGGGTGCAAGAAATCTGGTGCATCTCGTATTATTGGAATAGATATTAATCCAGCTAAATTTGAGCAAGGTAAATAATTTAATAAGATATATAAGATATAATAATAACACTGAAATAAACTTTTTATAAAAATTAATATGCAAATATATCTCTATGTTTTTTTAAATTCTTGTTTAAGATTCTAAACTTCATGTATAAGAAAATTTTATAAAGATTGTATTTATTTACAGCTAAAATTTTTGGATGTACAGAATTTATTAATCCTAAAAATTATAATAAATCTATTCAACAAGTTTTAATCGAGATGACTGATGGAGGATTGGATTATACCTTCGAATGCATTGGAAATGTAAATACTATGGTAAATGTTTGGAAAATTTTGTTCCATAATCTCATTAGGGCATAAGTAGTTTCATTCTAAAAGATTGATTTTTTAGAGGGCTGCATTGGAATCTTGCCACAAGGGATGGGGTGTATCCACAATAATAGGAGTAGCTGCAGCTGGACAGGAAATTAGTACTAGACCATTCCAATTGGTTACAGGACGAGTATGGAAAGGTACTGCATTTGGCGGATGGAAATCAAAGCAAAGCGTACCGAAATTGGTAGAAGAATATTTATCAAAAAAGTTGATCCTTGATGAATTTATTACTCACAATTTTCCCTTTGAAAAAATTAATGAAAGTTTTGATGTATTGCATTCAGGGAATTGGTAAGTTTTCATGAATTTATTATGTAATATTATGTAATTATGTGTATATATAAGATAGACAATATCGATAAAATTGTATTAAAATGCTATAAAATTACCTTTTATTTTTATTATAAGATATGTATTATAAGATAATATACTTCTGTTGCAGTTTGAGAGCTGTTCTTAAATATTAATAATATATTATTTTGTAAAATATATCCTATCAAAAGATTTGTGGGCATGTCTCTTTACAATTTATATAAAAAAAAGGTGCAGAATATTACACACATATCTCTGAATTGTATTTCTATTTCTTATTATGTATTTCTTACATTTATATTGAATTTTTAGAAATAAAAGAATAAATAAAAATATAAAACAATAATAAATATATTTTATATTTAATACATTAGATTTTCAAATAAATAAATATTTCCTCAATTTCTACAACAATTTTTATTCATAAAGAATTCTTATACAGTTACATATACAATATATCAATTAAATGAGACTTATAGGTAGCTCTTGAATGACGTAACAATTTTTTACGTTTTGATCAAGTGCATACCTTACAAAAAATCATGATATAAAGATCACTAACAGTTTTTTAATTGTATATAATTATATATATATATATATATATATATATATATATATATATATATATATATATATATATATATATATATAATTGTGTGTGTGTGTATACAATATGCACAAAAAAGATTCGATAAAACTATTTGTGTTCGCTTTCAATTATATTTAGTCTAAGTCGATAATAAGTCAGGTGAAATGTGCAAATTCCTTTTGATGCAGAAAGGAGTACAATTCATTACAAATGATGTTTTGTTATTCAAAGATATGAATATATTTTGAAGCGTTATCTACATATTTTAGTGCACAAATTTAACATTTATGTCTATTAAGACAAGAATTATGATCATTTATGAATGAACTGACAATAATTACAGTAGTTTTAAATAAAGAAAAAAAATATACAAATGTAATTTATAAAAATAATTTATAAAAATAAATCAAGAATTATTGTACTGTATATTGTAAATTAAGACGGACAATAAAGACAAAACAATAAAGTATTGATCGAAAAAAAATAATGAAGTATGTATTTTATCACTCAAATACTCATGTATCACTCAAATCTTCAGTATATACTATTTTGTCTCTTATTAATATGATTTGTGTATTGTTTTCCCTGAATATTTTATAAAAGGAATGCGTGTGTCAAAGTAAAATACATATATAAAAGACTCTTGCAAAATGAAATTTTATTTTCCTTCTAAATGAGAGGTGTAATCTGCGCTATCTAATCGCAAATTGCCTTCTAATGTCAGGGCTATATTCACATAATCACATTGATCTTTTCTTTTCCTACAGATTACATGTTGTTCTAATATCTATGATGATACCATATACTATTTAAGTAAAAGTCGTAAGTAAAAATATTTATAGTTAAATGCAGATAAATCACGTCAAATATTTTTTAATTTCGTAAAAAACAACCTCTTAACGTCACATGATTAATGTTGCATGATTGTGATTTAAAGAATTGTAATTTCTGTGAATTGAGTTGCATAATATATAATAGGATAATAATAATAATATATTATTTCACGTTACTTCTATAAGCAATTCTTTATAGGCAATCTCTTAATAATTAATTCGACGTCTTACTTTTACAATCGTGTGATTGACTGCATTATAATATTAAGTAGATCATTAACGAGAGTACATGAAATATAGGTCGTATTTATTCCATATATCTTACACTAATTTCTTTATAATTCAGATGACTATGAGAAAAAGAAGATAAAACAATTACACTTGTCGAAAAAATGAAATAAGCGGGAAATAATTTTTAAGAAAGATTTTCTATATTGTATTCAATAAAATATAACCAAAAGTGAAATAGCAAGTACTATGAAAAACTACTTCGTGTGGATTAATTAAATTCAGCATGTGCAAGCGTAACAGTAGCAGAATAATTTTACTTTTGATCACCTTTTTTTCTATTTTCAATCAACTTGATTCCGTTCGGCTGCCGCATTACACAAATCGTTTTAATTAGTATTACATCTATTTTATTATATTTCAATGTTATAACGTTATATATTATTAATCTTAAAAATAATGCGCAAAGTATCCACTTATATCTTTTGGTTAAATGTAATTTTTATGTAAATTCCGAAATTACCTCGTCTTATTCCGAATTTAGAATCCTTCTTTGCCTCATTTCACGAATTTCTTTGTTTTGTGTTGTGTAATGATGTGTGAAGTAATTATATTATTTAAAGATTTTTAGTTGTGCGTGAAGGTACCTCGATAGGCACAAAGGTAATTCAATGGTCTGTATCAGAGAGAAATTACTCTCTGCTCTGTGTATAATGCAATTTATAGCGAAACTTCTTACCTTCTTCGCTCATCCAGCAACCCTCACACACTCACATACTTTCGGGCATATTTCCTATCCATAAATTTGATCAGATATTGCACAGAATTACGATTGCACGAGATCTACTAGCGTCATAGAGCTTATATATCTGTATCAAAATTTTGTAACTTTTAAAATCTATCCAAACAAATTTGCATAAGCACATAAACATAAAGAAACGGATTGATTTATTTTCCTTATGTATATTTTTCTGGACTAATTAATCTTTTTATACATATATTTATGCGTTTGTTACAAGTTTGTTTGGATATATAGAGAGTAGTTGATGTATATAAGCGTGCGAGTGTCATATGACAACGAAAAATTGCTTAGAACGTACATCTTATGATCTGCGGATCATGCGCTCATTGATCAATTTTTTAAAATTAATATCTCGAAATTGTACATAATTGTTTGCAATATGTATTATATGCAGAGTTGGATAAGTTTATATATTTTTTTAACTAAATTAAGTTAAAGTTAATGGGTTAAAAAATTAATTTAGTTATGTTGAAAGTTATACAAATAAAAAATTAACTCAATAAAAGTTACGTTAAGATTAAATTAACGTTAGTTAAGATAAAAGTTAAAATTTTGAAAAGCATTATTTCACTTTATATTAATTAGATTGTAATTTTAAAATTAGATTACTTTAAATAATAATAATATGAATCATCAAATAAATTTGGGGGGAAAGTTAATAAGTTTAAGTTTATGTGTTTTAAAAATAACTAGTTAAAGTTAAAAGTTAACTTTTTAAAATAACTAAGTTGAGTTAAAAATTATTAACTTTTTAACTTTTTTTTAACTTTTAACTATTCAACTAGTTATTACCCAACCCTGATTATATGTAATATGATTTCTAGTTCAATTTAACGAGACCTACTTGTATATTTTCGATGAGACACTGTACGTTAAATACCCTATATATTTAATGATAATGTCGCTAATGTTACATGCGTATATATTTTGTCATGTCAAAAACAGTCAAAACATATCAGACAATACATTGAAGATTGAAGATTAAACATTGGAATTTGACTAATGTCCATTTCTACCATCTTCTCCCGATTCAACCCGATAAAAACAGTACGTAAAATCAACGTTGTTACCATGTGGATTAACATCATTGAATACATCTGGATATTCGAATGGATAATCCACAGAACGATATTAGAATCTACGTGAATAGGATGTGGAAATCCATGTGAAAATTTTACGAATTTTTGACATATTATTTTTTCCGTTTCTGATCAATGTGAATATCCTGGATATTTTTAAAAATATATAAATACTCGGCAACAAGAATACTTTAATATACGCAATAAATGGGCTATTTCTCATTTATCCGTTTAATTTCAAATAATCTCTTTAATATTTTGAATCCCAACAAGGGATCCAGATTATTAAACAAATTATTTTAAATTAAGTCAATTTATCAGAAATTAAACTAATCAACAAGAAGAAATATATTTCGGATCTTATATTAATATCTTAATCCTTTATATACATTTCTTGATGAAAAATTGAATACGAGTTAATTAAGTTTGGTGTAGCACCGCGTAGCGGCAAAACAAAAAACACATTCTAAATATGTAATATAGCATATTTCCAAACTTACAAATATAAAACTTTTTCTGAAATATTTCAGATACAAAGTTACAATTGAGAAATGTTAATAAAATATCTGGGAACATTACAATACTTTAATAGTATTACAAGACATTGATTAATGATAATTTCAGCAGAAATATCCACATAAAATCTACATTGATATTTCGAAAATAGATTACTTCGATGTAATGATAAAAAAAGAAAGTTATATCTATGTAGATGATTCGTGAATAAATCTATCCACGTAGATCACATAAATTATGTGAATTTAACGTGGATGTGACGTAACTGTTTTTGTCGAATAATCTCCAATTTTGCGAAACTTTCGTTAGAATTAAACTTGGATTTAATGTTGATTGTTTTCTTCCAACATTGTAATATAGAGCGTTTAGCTAAATTTATAATTTGTATGTCATAACTCTAGAATCTCTTATTAAAACTTCTACATTGATTGATAATGTTGGCTCTAATGATATTGTACCTTGTCACCTAACCTTTGAATTTGTAAATATTTTTAAGTTTGTTGTTTTTCTTGGGCCTTGAACGAGATCGAATATGTTAAGTGTTAAGAGAATAGAACTTATCAAAAAGAGAAGAACAGAAAAAATTAAAAAGTAATTTAAGATAAAGTGTAAATATTTAATAGAAAATATTAGTTATAAAAAGTACGAAAAAATATAACATAATTAAAATATAATACATTGTTTAAATTTTCTTTCTCTTTTATTTAACTTTTCGATTATATCTTCGTCATTCGAAGATGACGATGTAAAATTATATGACATATTTGAAATGATGGGAAATACTAATTATATTTCTTAATCATAGTTCAACTACTTCTAAATAGTCAAATTGGCCGTTCAATATAAACTCAACAATTTAAACCTGAATAAATAGTTGATAAAAATCAATATTCAGGTTAACTTATGTTAATCGAATGTCACTAGAAATTATGTTTCTTAAACCGTGTTGGTAGAAACGGACATAAATAAAATAAAAACACTTAAAAGGCTTAAAAAAATATATATATGTATATATATATGTGTATATATATATACATATATATATATATATATATATATATGTATATATATATATATATATATTATATACATACATACGTATATATATATATATGTACGTATATATGTATATAATAATAATATTATATATAATAATATATACACACACACACACACACACACATATATATATATATATATATATATATATGTGTGTG